GTGCAGTGCTGTGCCATTGAGAAAGTTTGTACCACTTACATCCTATCATATTTGGAGTTTTGAGACCTTCCTTGTAAAGGTGATGTTGTACCGGGTGGCATTGTGCTGATGTGCTCATGATGCTTAACACCAAAGTCCTAAGCAGCAGCACTGGGGAAGGTTGGCCTGTCCCCAGAGCTGCAGCCAGCACCATGTCTTTCACCATCTATCTCTTTGCACCCTGTTCTTAGCTCCACAGGTGATTCGTAAGATCAGGGCTGAACAATTTTCTGATGCATCAGGAAACCTGAAACTTTGGTGCCAGTTCTTCAACATTTTGACCGATTCTAAGCTGATGTGGTACAAGGATGAGATCCCTGTAGCAGAAGCACAAAGGAGGTAATCTTTCAGCTCCACTTTGTTGGAGTTCTTGTGCATAGCTCTGAGTTTGTGCTCTGGCTCTTGTGTTTACTGAGGAGAAGATGCCTCTTCTCTTATGGCTGTGTGAGAAGCTCATTGCACAGCATGATCTGCTGTGAACCATATTTTCTTAGCGCCTGGAGTTGGGAGGATTGCCCACCTAGGCACCTGTTGCCCTACTGATACTTTGTATGGAGTCTGGTTCAAGGGCCAATGCTTTGACTTGCAGAGACCTGGGGAGGGCAGGAGTTGATCTGAACCTTGGGCAGGGCAGGGAAGGTGCTGTGCCCATCTCAGAGCTTGAGAGCTGGGGGCAAACCACAGAACTGGGACTCTAGTTGCTTCCTTGCAACTAGAAAAAAAAAAAAAAAAAAAAAAAAAAATTCAGCTCTGACTGCACCCTGTCTGCCACCTTGACTAGGGGAACTGCCAGCCCAGAGCTGCAGGCTGGAGAAGTCTGGCATTCCGCTGATGCAGAGCTTGTGCTTTACTTGTTCCTTGGAGAGAGTTGTGTCTGTCCTCATTCCTGAATGCCTGAAAGCGTGGCAGGAAGCAGGACACTCTGACTCTTTGGCTTCCAGCCATCCCACCCAAACAAGGGTTTATTAGCGCAGCTACAACCCTGACCCAACTGCCCTTAGAGACAACTACCTTTATTAGCATGTAGCCCAACCCCAGCATGAGTTTGCAGGGCTGAAGATCTTGCACCTCTAAGAATGTGAACAGTAGAGCTGCTGCAAGGTGCAAGGAGAGCAGCTGGAGTGCTCCTGCCTTCCTGCATGCCCATGGGCTGGTTTTGTTTTCATGCCCACATCCAAAAGCTCCGGGGCCCCTGGTGCCTCTGTGCAGCGCACAGGGCTGACCCCATACTCTGATTTCTTCCAGTGCTGGCGATGAGGGCCAGGCAGCCTTGGCCATTGTGCAGGCATCCCAGAAGGACTGTGGAGTCTACCGGTGTGTGATCAGCAATGAGTATGGCACAGACTCCACTGATTTCCTGCTCAGCCCAGAAGGTGAGGTGCCCTCAGCTGCCTGGTGGCTCTTACACATGTGTGACTGTGCGATCGACTCTGAGGCAGGGTGAGATCCTGGCAGAACTCTGACTCTTCTCCTGCTTTGTCTCCTCCAGTGTTGTCAGGATTTATCTTGCGGGAAGAGATCGAAGGTAAGGATGACGTGCTGATGAGTTGCTGCCCTGGCCACCCGGCCTTGCTGTGGGATGGGCAGGATGTGCCTGTGTTGTCCCTCCTCACCAGCTCTTCCCTCCACCAGTTGGAGAGGAGATCGAGATGACACCCATGGTGTTCGCAAAGGGCTTGGCTGATGCGGGCTACTGGGGAGATAAATTCTTCGGGCGTGTGATGAGTGTGGACATGGAATTGGGTGCTGGCTTCCCACGCAAAGCCTGCCGTGCTAGAGCCATCTATGGCCTGGAGCCTGTCTTTGAGTCTGGCTGCACCTGCATCATCAAAGTGCACAATTTCATTGTCTTTGGGACCAAGAACGAGAACAGCCTCATCGAGAAGAACTATGATATCACCATCCAGGTGGGCACTGTGAGCTATAGCCCTTTTGGGTCTCCCCTGGGTTTTCCATCTGTCCGTATCATAGTACCTAGCTTTCTTAATTTCTTTCCGCTTCTTGAATGCTCTGATTGAGTAAAGCCATGTCCCTGGCAATATCCGTGTTCTTCAGCCCTTCTCTCTGTGCAATGCAGAGCTACTCAGATCTTTCACTTGTCCTTTGACTGCTGAGACAGGGGAACAACTGGCAGTGATCCCAAGGGTTGCTTTCTCTAGTGGAGGGGTCTCACAGCTTTGATGTGGGCTTGTTGACAGAGGGCAGGACAGGTCCCTGACTCTCCTGCTTGAATCTCCAGGAATGTAAAATCCAAAACTCCAGTCGCGAGTACTGCAAGATCTTTGCTGCTGAGGCCCGTGCTGTCCCTGGTTTTGGAGCAGTGCCCGAGTAAGTACGGTGCTGCAACTCTGCTAGCTTGACAGTGGAGCAAAGCATCTGGGGAGATGGTGGGAGGGTCCCCTGTGGGGCACTGGGGACATCCCGAAGGGCAGCTCCCTCTTCTCCCACTCTCACATGGAGGGGATATGGGGAGGAAGGCAAAAAGTAGATGCAGATCTCTGCTGAGGTGGAAAGTTCTGCAACTGGTGCTGACCCCCGCTGTGTGCTGCCACACAGGATAGTTCCTCTGTACCTGATTTACCGACCGGCCAACAACATCCCTTACGCCACGATGGAGGAGGACCTGGGTGGGCCCTGTGAGCAGTACTGTGTCACTGAGAGAGATGGCAGCTTGGTGGCTCGAGGCACCTCGGAGATTGTGCTCAAGTGCTGCACCTTCCAGCATTGGGTCTACCAGTGGACGAATGGAAACATCCTTGTGACTGACATGGAAGGTAAAGGGATGTTCCAGTGATTCTATGATTCCCACCTGATACCCGCGGCTCTTCACCTCACTCTTGCAAAAGGAGGAGCAATAGCTCCAGCCTTGCCCTCCTGCCTGTTTCCCCACGTGCCTTGGAGCCCTGCTCAAAGAGTGGTTGTGGTGCCCATCCTTGCCTGGGCAGGAACTGGTTGTTGTCCCTTTCTTTGCAGGAGTGGGCTGGAAGATGACCAATGTGCGGATAGCAACCAACCTCAAAGGGTGAGTAACTCTCTCACTGCTAGTGTGGGCTGTCCCCACGTTGACCCCAGCTCTGCCACTTGTGTGACGGGGCACGACTGAGTGCAGCTGGCCGCTGTCCTCGCCAGCTGGTGGGACATCTCCTGGCACGAAGGAGAGCTGAGTGTGGCTGTGTTGCAGGTACCAGGGGCTGAAGGAAAGCTGCTTCCCCTCCCTGTTGGAGCAGTTTGCTGCGACTCACCAGTGCAACCATTACTGTGACATCCTGGGCCTGAAGACTCTGGAACCGGTCAAGCCCAAAGGCTCCAAGAGCCCCTCCATGGGCAGGAAGTCTGCCCAATCCAGCCCCCAGCTTCAGAAGAAGGGGGCAGCAAGTCCCCAGGGCACCCGCAAGACTACTGTGAGCCCCAGGAGTGCCCGCAGAATGGCAGAAGCGGCGGAGGCCCAGGCAGCCTCCAAACCCGGGCCTGGCGAGGCTGGCAGGCCTACTTGCCCTCAGTAGCCATAGTTACATTGGCGGGGACCCTTGCTGTGCCAGAGCAGGCCAGAGGCACTCCTGCCTTTGGCTCCTGCCCCAGCTCGTGACGTTTGTGTTGTGTGATGTGTGCTAGTGCGAGCCACCCGGCTGCCTCTGCAGCAGAGCCAGCACAGCCATGGGTGTGATGGTGCCTTCCTGTGGGGTCTTCCGCAGGCTTCTCTGCAGAAGCTGTTGCCAGCTATGGAGACTGTGGGGCCGTGCACACCCCTGAACTGGGGCTTTTTTTCTTCTCCCACCTCTTTCCCTTTGTCTTGCTTGAGCATTTGAAGCACGGGCCATCAAACTGGCTCCCTGGGCTTTGACGTTGCCATGCCCCTTTCCTAGCAGTGTCCCAGTACTTCCCTGAACTGACTGGGAGCGTGGACTCTCCTTCCTCACAGCTTTTTTTATGCTGCCCTGACACATGCTGCTACTCCTGTCCCTTTTCATGTCCTCTGTAAAGCCCAGCCAGTGCTTGGTCTCCAGGATGTGAACCAAAGCGGAGTCCCACTGGTCCCTTGCATGCTGATTGCAAACATTTCACTCTAGTGAGGATCAATGGAGAGCTGCAGCACTTCTGCTTGCCTGCTGCTATTGCTTGGGCTTCTGGAGTGTGGGTCAGCCCCGTAGCAGGGTATTGGTGGCTGCATGGGGTGGGGGCTCTCACGCTTGTCCTCCCAGCCTCCCCTGTCCGGATGGATGCTGAGGGCTGCAGTGCTGCTATGGGTAAGGATGCTCTACCTCACACAGGGTGCACAGGAGTGGGGCACTGCTGTCACTCATGAGTGTCACCCCCCCACACTTCACACGTACCCCAGTGGCAGCATCCCTGGTGCAGGATGGAGGCCGGTTCTGCAGTCAGCGATGGACAGGCAGTGGTGCTCACGCTGCAAAGTAAAGCTCCCTGCATTGGGTCTGGTTTCTTCTGTCTCGCCGCAGAGCATGGGTGCCACCATTGCCCCTCTAAATATAGCAGTGGTGGTGGAATCTGAAAATGGCTCGCTGCAGCCTGGCAAAGGAGGGAAGGGAGCGTGGTGTGCTCTGGGGCCCTGGTGCTTTGTTGTTGGGCCGCTGTAAAATAATGGGGTACATATGTGTTCGCCTTGGTGACTGGGGGTACTCGAGTGCAATAAAGCAAGAAGGACTGGCCTGTCCCCCTGTGGTTCCTGCGGAAGAGATGCATCCAAGCATGGCAGGATGGGACAGCTTGTGTTTGGGAAAGGAAATGGCTTCAAGTGCCATCTCTACTCCATTCATACCTGCCATAAGGAGAAGAGGATGGTGAACCTTAAAGAGGCACCTGATGAAGGCTTGGCTTGAAAGGTCGCTAGCAAACAGCAGCTATGGGGAGCTGCGCAGCGGGGTGCAGCCTCAGCAAGACATCCCACACCCTTTGTAGAACAGCTGAAGTCAGGTCCAGAGAGGAAGCAGAGCACAAGCATGGGGATTTCTGTAGTTTATTTGCAATCAGTTTCCCCTCTGTCCGTGGGGCCAGCATCTAGGGATGCTAGTTACAAGGTGCATGGTGATTTCTGTCTAGCTGTTGGGGATTTTTCTGCCTTTGAAGTCAGCTTGTGCAGACTGCAGTGCTCCCTGGGGGTGGTATCTCTGGGTTCATGCCGTGCAGTAAGTGTGGTTGTAGTGCCCGCAGCACCCTGTCAGGCATGGCAGGCTCTCCGGCACGCTGTCCCAGGCTCCCGTAAAGTAGAGCGTCCCATTCTCGAGCACCGTGCTGGAAGGAGAGAGGCACAGTCAGGGCAAGAGCTGCCCTGCCAACCCCACAGCAAAAGTGATGGTTCAGATGCTCATGCACCTCAGTCCTAGGCAGCATGGCGCAGCTCCAGACCCTACCTGTCTCCCTGCTACACACCCACCTCGCAAACAGCTGCTTGCAGCATGTGTATATGTTATAGTTGGTAGAGGTGAAGTTGGCGTTGATAAGGATGGTCACGCAGTTGCCCATCTCTGTTGGCACATAGAGGAGGCCTAGGAGACAAGGCCTCCTGGTTGGGGCTCTGAGGGACTGGGCGCTTCAGTCCCATACCCTGGCAGTGCCATCCCTGCGCTGTGCTCGCAGGTCCCACATTCCACATCCCTCCCACCAGTTGCAGCAGTGATGCCAGGGAGCCCCTCCCAAAGCTTTAACAGCCACCCTCAAAATGTTCCAGTTGCAGCCCAGATGAGGGTAAGAAGCCTCAGCAGAACTATGGGATCTGGGGGCCCTGATGGAGAGCACAGCGTTTGAAGGCCCTATGTGAGCCATGGGGAGGGCAGCCAGCCTTACCCATCCCTGCGGCTGCACTCACAGGTGTGTTCAGCTCTTTGCCCAGCCCTGTCTCCTCCCAGTGGCAGTGGGCAGGGACCTACCTGCGAGGCAGGAGTTGAGCATGGAGACACAGATGCCCGTGAGCAAGGCTCGCAGCACAATGGAAGCCAGCTCACTCTTGCGGTGAGGAACCATGGAGGCTGCAGGGGCAAAGCAGAAGCTGGGGCAAGACAGATCCTTGCTTTGGCTCTGCCTGGGAGTAGGGACAGATGAGACAAGTGCCAAGTCCCCAAGTGGCCCTGCCATCTACTGCTCTGCCATCAGAGCCATCTGGAACCTCTGTTCTATGCCCCATTGCTCAGTCGGTGAGTGTGTGGGATGCACAGGTGACCTTCACCATGGATGCGGTACAAAATCACCCACATCACCTTGTGCAAGCCCCATTTCTTACCTGCATGCTAATAAGAGACTGAACACAGAGGCCTGAAGGCAGCTCCCACTCCTTAGGTTCCTCTGCCCCATACCCAGATACTCAGGATGTGGGTCACACTCACTCAGGCCTCCCAGCATGATCCCAATGGAGCTTAGGTTGGCGAATCCACAGAGTGCAAAGGTGGTGATGCTTTCAGCACGCTCCTGGAGGGCACAGAGGCAGGGGATGATCATCTTGGCCCCACAGCAGCCCCACAACACCGTGTTGTAGTTCCCAGCCCAGCCAGCTGAGATGGAGACAAGTCCCATCCCAATTCTTTCAGATTTTATAGAAGCAAGGGACAGGTGAGGGGCAGCTTGCCAATGGGAAAAGATGGACTGGCAGCAGGCAGAGGCCCTAGAGCATCATAGTCTGGCCCTCTGGAGGGCAGGACCAGTGGGACATGGTTTCACTGTTGCCTTCAGAATGACCCCACACCTAGCAGTGATGTCCAAATCTAGATGGCCACAAGTGCCCCCCCCCCCCCCATCCCCAGAATAATGGTGCTCCCCCCTTGCTGCCTAGCACGCAGCCTGGCCAGGTTCCGTGCCCCATTTCAGTTCCATCCCTGCCCTATACCCAGCAAGGTGGTGGTTGCCCTCACAGATATCCACTGCTTCCTGCTCCCGCTCCACTCCTCCAGGCCTGACAGCCGGTTCCTCTTGTACGTGGCTAGCTGCTGGTACGCCACAAACTCGTTCAGGAAGATCTTGATCCCTAGCAGCTCTGCTACCAGCGGCGAGTCTGCCCAATCTGCCCCCATGAGAAAGGCCACAGGCATGAGGACGTAGGAGCAGATCATCTAGGAAGAGCATCCCAGGAGGGAACAGTTGAACCTTTGTAGAGGCTTGGGCACCTGCTGCTGGGGATCTAATCAGGCAGTGGGTAGAGGTGGAGATGGGTGGGGAACTTGGGAGTACCTGGAAGGAGAGGTCTTTGATTTCCACCATCTCCCCAAACCAGCGCAAGGCAGCGTTGATGAACTCCAGCACGGCCAAGAAAGCAATGAGGTTGGCTGCAATGTTGGCCACGAGTCCTATGGAGGCGGCAGCCCCATTGCTGGCAGCTTCCAGGATGTTCCGCTCTTCCCTGGGAGGAAAGAAACCCTGACAGGATCACGTTGCCAGTCTCTGCAGACCTCACTACGGGGTCTCCAAAATTTGTGCCACCTGCAGTGCCCAAACTGCACCCACAGCTGCCCCGTGCCACCCCTCTGCTCCCACTCACCCACTGCTGATACGAACGCTTTCTTTGCCCTTGAACTTGGACTCTTCCACTTCAGGGTAGACCAGTTTGGACATGGCAAGGGCACAGGGTGCAGCCATCACAGATGCTGCAATCAGCAATGCCGCATCTATCTGCAACAGGCAGACTGTGGGCTCAGACCCTGTATGAGGCTGCCCAAGCACATTGCCAGCAATGCTTGGAGCAACCCAGGGCACTCTGCTCACTCGGAGTGGGAAGGTGTGCCTGTTTTTCCCATCTTAGCCACTGAGGATGCGGGGGGTAGCTCATCTGGATGAAAACATTGCTAGAGCCACAGCAGTTGTAACTTCAGAGATGTTAATTTCTCTCTTGTTTGACTTCATCTTGATGATCCTTGCCCCCTCTTTATCCCTTTTATCAGTATCAGAGCAAGAACACTGCTGACTTGTACCTAGTGACGAGCAGTGTATCACAGCCACAGCCTTGTTACCCTGCCCCTGCCCTCTGCACTGCAGTTTCTCATTTCTCTGTCCTTTCACCCTTGGCTCCCTGTTTAAGGAGACTAATTAATGTTTAAATAGCGGGAGCTCAGCCAGCAGGTTGAGGCCACATCCGGATATCACAGTTCTGAGACAGTGAGGAACTGGTGAGAGCATCAGCGGGGGCTCAGGCAAGGGGGTGGAACAGAGACCCCACCGCCAAGGGCCCTTCCAGGCTGAATTATTCCATGGTGCAGTGAGATCTGCCCTGATTGCTGCGGAAGGACTCTGGGGTTTTGGCCAGGCCAACATGAGAGCATCTCATTTATGGAAGGAGACCCACAGTGGGCTTTCTTACCCCACATGCCCAGGGCAGTTCTGGCATGCCAGACCCTCGAGCAGGGAAAATGAGCCATACAGCTGCTTGTGTTCTCACCCCAAAGGATATGTAGGCTCCCATCACACTGCCTGCAATGGTGGAGAAGCCACCAGCCATCACGGCGTGGATCTCAGAATGGGTCATGTCTGCAAGGTATGGGCGGATGAGCAGCGGGGCTTCAGTCTGTGAGAAAGAAAAACCTCTGCTGACACCACACAGGGCTGAGGGTCTCCTAGGAAGGGAGGAGAATACCCTTTTTCTGCCATCAGGAGCTGTTGAGGAGTTGGAGCGCCTGCCACAAGCCTTACCTGTCCCACAAAGATGTTCCCTGCCACGCTCAACGTCTCAGTAGGGGTGGTGCCCAACGAGATCTGGAGGAGCCAGGAGATCTGGGGGAACACAAAGCCGCTGTGTTCGCAAAGACAGCCACCCCATGAGGCTGGCCACTCCAGCCTGCCCTTGCCAAGCTGCACAGAGGTGATGTCCAGGAGTGCCAACAGACCAGGGAGTATCATCAGCCCCAAGTTTGGGTAAGAAAGAGGAGGTTGTGTCTATCACTTCAGCCCAAATTAGTACAACCCCAATTTTCTTGGGATATCCTTCAGCTTTTCATAGGAGCTGCAGTAACTGGCAGGTCCTTCTTCTTTCCACAACCATCAAAAAGCTGGGCCCTACCTTGAGGATGAGCCACTGCATGACACCGAGGTAATAGAGGATGGACATCACGCAGCTGAAGAAAACGATGATGGGCAGACTCTGTAGACAAGGCACCAGGGTGTGAGATTAAAGGGCTGTTGAGCAGTGCATCTAAAGTGCACTTGGGCGTGGTGTGATGTTGCACAGCCACCCCACACTATTGGGGTGCCACAACACTGCAGAGGAACAGGGTTAGTGCAAATACCCCATGGCATGCAAGAGACCCATGGGTGCACACAAAGCATCCTTGAGCTGGTCGAACTCTGGCTAAGGCCAGAAGAAAAACCAGACTCTATCTCTCCTTCCCAATACCCCATTCCACAAACTGACCTGAAATGCAAAGACGTCTTCAATGAGGGTATTCCCAAAAACGAAGCTAGAGCCAGCTTTGGTATAGCCCAGGAAGACCTGCAAATGGTGATGTTACATGGTAGGAGGGAGATCTCCATGATCAAAATGTCCCAGTTGCAGCCCAGATGAGGGTAAGAAGCCCCAGCAGAGCGATGGGATCTGGGGGCTCTTGTCCCAGTATCTTTTACCTAGCAGTGGACTGCCCCTTCACCTCACAGCTCCCTTGCCCCAGCAGATAAACCTAAGCTGAGAATACTTAGTGTGGTGTCTCTGAGTAAATGGGGCTCTGCTGCAGCCCCTGCAAGGGATACCACACCAAGGGGCCGGGGCTGTGCTAGAAAACCAGACAAGAGGTGGCTTTTCTCTTGGGCAATACAAGGGGACGGCAGCTCCTCCAGCCTGTACCACTCTCAGCTCCTCTTACTGGTCCCAGGACCTACATGGAGGACTGAAGCATGGGATGGGGTGAGCAGGAACAGTACCTGGATCTGGTCACCCAGCCACTGGAAAGCCTGAATGCCAGGGGTTGTTCGAAGGATGAAGAGTCCAATTAAAAACTCCAAGCCAAGACCCCAGAAAACAGCTCTCCAGGACACCTGGGGACCAACAGCAGAACGGTGACTGAGGTGTTAGCAGAGCCTTCAGACTTACCTCTCTGGATTCCTGCCCATTCAGTGGCTCTTGGGTGATGGTCATGCTAACAAAGTGTCACAGAAACCCACAAACATGGGTTGGCAATTGGGGAGGAAGACAAGTTGGTGGGAGTCAGGAAACAGCTGGCGAAATGGAGGAGAAGGGCACAAAGATCTTCTGGTTGTTTGACTGGTAGTACAGATCCCTACTGCATGCTCACCAACCCTTTGGAGGAAAGGGCTGGACTGGTTGTCCAAAACATTGGAAAAGGTTGGACTGAAAGCCATTGGGACTTCAGTCACTTCTGCCCAACCCACCAGGATGTTCCTCTGCCCACAGGCACCTGAAGCACAGACATGGGTACGGGTGTGAGAGCTGTGGTAGAAAATAGGACAGTGGTAACATGGGGAGCCCCAGGTTGAGCAGTGGGAAGGAGAATAGCGGGGTGGTGTTGGGGCTGCAGCACCCAGCTCTGCTCCCCAGGCTGTGTCCAGATCTGCCCTGGGAGCTTCTACTTCCTGCAGAGAGAGCCCATGGATTTCTCCCCTGTGCCACCTCCTGTGAGGGGAGCAATGGCCAAACCACACCTGAAAAACGTACTGCGCTGTGGTGCTTGGAGAAGGCAAACAGGAAGAGCACCAAAACGCAGAAGCCAGCTAAGGAGATGAGCTGCTCTGGCTTCTTGGCCGTGTCCAAAGCCAGCCACGTCACCAGGCCTCCCAGGAGGAGCACATACAGCAGCCTGCAAAGAAACTTCCAAACTGTCACAGAGAGGCAGTCTCCACAGAGAGCAGCTCGGAGAGAGCAGCAGTTGACTGTGTGGAAGATGCCCAGCCTCCTCCCTGCTCACCACTTCAGCCATGGCCAGGACTTCTGCAAGCATTTCCAAAGGGGGCTGAGGAGTGTCAACACCTTTGCCCCACAGTACTTCTTGAAGAGGCTCCAGCACATGAAGAAGATGACCACCGCAGTGATAATGACCAAGGCAAGGGCTCGCTGGAAGTTGAGCCAACACGCCGCAATGAAGTAGCACAGGTAGGCTGGGGAAGGCATGCAGGGGGTCAGAAACACCAGAATCGTGAGATCATGGATTCACAACACTAACTGGGGACAACAGTGAGGTATGCTGCCTCCAAACATCCTTCCCTGGCCACCTTAGAGGCTCTCCTTTGTGTGCGGGATGAGCAGGAAGCAGACCGTGCGACTGATGAGGTGCAGCCTCCACGCGGGCTGCAGTGCCTGGATGCTGCATGGGCAGCCAAAGGGGTGTGGAGGTGGTGGGAAGTCCTCACCTGCTCCAAGGAGCCCCCAGCAGACCCTTCGCAATGCCTTGGCGTGAGCCTTGCAGAATCTCTTTGCCTTGGAGGCTGGCTGCAGGGCCTTCCTGGGGAGAGTGGACACATGAGGTGCAGATCAGCCCAATTTTGAGCTTGCTATGACCATTGGAGATATTTCCGTGCGCACGTCTCCGGGGATTACCCTACCTGCAGTATGAAGCAACTCTCCCATTGCCTTCTCTTCTCTTCCTCTCATTCCCACCATGTGGACTATCATGTTCCTCGCAGAGCTCCTCCTCACCCTGGAAAACATCGTTAGCCGGAGCGCCCAAGCAGCTCCTGCACCCCAACAGGGAGAGAATGGGGAGGTTTACCAGGGAGCTGAAAGCAGAGTTGTCTATGCCTTTCTCAAGGTTGTCCAGGTTTATCTGGTTTCCTTCCATCTCTAGACGTGCCATTGCTTCACGGTGCTAGAGACACAGCATGGCAAGTGACCCACTGGCTGAGGACACAGAGCCTGGGTCAGTGCCAGAGGGACAAATGTCTGCCCCCAGTTTTTGGTCTGGGGTCTCTGGAGAGAACAGCCTTTGCAGGAGGGATTCAGAGCAGCTCCTGTGCCAGCAAATTGAGTAGCCATCCTTTAGGGTGTGCAGGGCTGGGTGTGCTGGCCCACTGTTTCCCTGCCATCCAGGAGGGTCTTTGCTCTCCCCTGCTTCCCAAGGATTACAGGAAAGTGTCAGACCCCAGAATGCAATGAGGAGAGCCAGCACCCCTCCTCCAGGGCAGAGCCCTTTACAAAAATGGGAGATTTTGTACAAACTAAAATTGGCCATCTCCCTCACCAAGAGCTCCCAGTGAAACCAAGTGCCCTGCAGCTAAGAATAAGGAAGAAAGGCTTTTCACGCTGGTGACAGGAACAGGGCAGGAGGAACATGTAGGAATAAACAGAGATTGGCATGGGGACGGTTTTAAAGGAGGATCATGCTGGGAGAAATGGTCCAGCAAAGCAAGAAAAAACAGTGTTAGCAAAGTGCAGAGTTCCTGGAGCATCCCGTTGGGACACCTGTGCCTGGAGAAGGATGGGAGAAGAGCAGAGCAGCCGCAGGGAAAGCAATGGGTGACCGCGGGAGGACAGAGGGGAGCATGAAGGGTCCTCACGGTGGGGCAGCGAACGAGGCAGAGAGGCCAGTGCCACCCTGGCTTTGTTGCAGGGACGGTCCACGGTGGGCAGCAGAGCCCCTCGAGCAGTCCCAGGACTCGGGACTCCAGAACAACATCCACCACTCAGGAGCCCCCTGGGCACCCCCAGCGCCCCAGCACCAACCTGGTGGCACTCCGCCAGACCCCGAGCGCGGCCACTCGCTGCTCCCTCGTCCCCCACGCCTCGTCCCCGCACTCACACTCCGTCCCGCAGCGCCCGACCCGGCCCCGCAGTTATCCATTAACCGCTCGGTCCAAAGAGCTGTGCCCGGCGCCCGGCCCTGGAGCACCCGCAACAGCACCGCAGAGATCCTCCCGCCCCGCTAAAATAAAATAAAAATCACAAAACAAAAAACACTGCAAGAAGAAATAAAGCTGGGGAAACGCCGCAGCGGTGCAAAACCGTACAGTGCAAAGGGACGTGGTGGTGCAAAGCTGCACGGCGCAGATGGATGCGGGACGGACGCGAGCGAAGTCGGGCACCATTTGTTCGGCGAGAGCGCAACGAGCAGCGCTGTGCGGTGCCCGGGGGTCGTGCGCCACGCTGCCGCAGCACGGCGGGTTCGGCCACGCACTGCCGGACGCGCGGAGCCGTGAGGGCCGTCCGCCCGCAGGCAGGGCCGGGGACGCCGCGCAGTTCGCCCGCCCTGAGCGCCGAGCCCGCCCGCATCCCTTAAGAGCGCCGCCGGCGCTGAGCGTGCCCAGAGCCCCGGTAGCGCGCCGTGATCGTATAGTGGTTAGTACTCTGCGTTGTGGCCGCAGCAACCTCGGTTCGAATCCGAGTCACGGCATCGCCTCCGCACGGCGGTACCACGGCACACGGGCTCCTGTTTTCTTTTTCGACGTGGATCCCACGCTCGCTGCCGGCTCGTGTCAATTTTTTTAATGTCATTCTCTCCTTTCTCGCAGCGGCTCCTGCATTCCCACCGGCTGCGGCTCTCGGCAGTCGCTGTTCAGGGTAAAAAGAGGGAAGAAAAAAAGAAAAAAGAAAAAAAAAAAGAAAAAAGAAAAAGCAGCAAAAGAGGAAAATGATGGGAAAAGAAAGAAAATAAAAAAAAAAGGGGGAAAAAAGAAGAAACAAAGAAAGAAGAAGAAAATTAGATAAGAAACAGAAGAAAAAAAAAAAAAAAAAGCAGGAACTAGATAAGGAAAAGAGAAAAAAAAGAGGAGAAAATCAGAGGGAAAAGGAGATGCGAGCCCGTGTGCCGTGGTACCGCCATGCGGAGGCGATGCCGTGACTCGGATTCGAACCGAGGTTGCTGCGGCCACAACGCAGAGTACTAACCACTATACGATCACGGCGCGCTACCGGGGCTCTGCAAGGCAGCGCTCTCTGCACAGCTCTTACGGCTGAGCCGGGATGATCTCACTGTGACGTCATCGCCCCGCCCCCGCCCCGCGCTGCTTTGACAGGGGAGGGTCGCGCGCTGTCTCCATGGCGATGCAGGGTGAATGGCAGCTCCATCCGCCAATCGACTGCGGGCCCCTGTGCCGCGGGACCCGGCCTGACCCTTCGCGGCTATGAGCGCTCTGTATCCTGCTGCCAATTCTGCTCCGCATCTCGCCTGCGCCCAGCCCCAAGAGCTCGGAGGTGCGGACGAATGTGCGATGGGCATTTCCTGACCGCCCTTCGCCTGCATCCATCTCTTCCTTCCCTCGGCCCCTTGGTGTCTGTGCTCTGGGAGGTGCTCTGCCGGACGCCGACCCGGCAGCGCTGGGTCTGACGAATAAAGCGCTCTTTGGGGTATCCCAGAATGGGGCCCCCAGCGCAGGAAGGGTGCGGAGCTGCTGGAGTGGGGCAGAGGAGGCACGGAGATGCTGCGAGGGCTACAGGACGTACAGGAGGACCAACTTTTTACATGAGCAGATAGAGATAGGTCAGGGGAATGGCTTTAGGCTAAAAGGGGGAAATGTAGGTGAGACGTTAAGAAGAAATTTTTTACTCAGAGGGTGGGGAGGTTTGGGGAGGCACCAGAACAAGTTGCCCGAAGAGCTGTGGTTGTCCCATGGAGCCCCGGGCAGCCTGAAGGGTGGCAATCAGTTCAGGGCAGATGGGATTGGAACTGGGTGACTTTTAAGGTCCCTTCTAACCTAAGCCGTTTTATGATTCTGTGATTCTCAGGCTGAGCTCAGTGCGCGCCATAGCCTTGATCCCGGTTCTTAGCCCAGCATGGTGTTCACCTGGCTGTGTGCTGGGCTCTGTGGAGCTGGTTTCTCTTTAGGTAGGCATGATGGGGCTCATGCTTTGGATGCTTAGCCATCGGAATAGCAATGACCTCAGCTGCTGGAACAGGAACCGTGGAGATAAACATTGTGGTGATAAGGAGGAGCTGGCCTAACATGGAAGAGAGCAGAGAGGTGGCAAGTGGATGCAGAGATAAAAGTTCTGAGGGCCTGGCTGGTGTGTAAAGAGGAGGCTTGGAGCTGCTGTCATCCGTCACCGGCATTGCTGACCCTGTCCCAGCACTGCTTCCTACCAATGGACTGCTTTTCCCCAAAGAGATTTGGATGTGATTTTTCCTAACTGAAATCACACCAGGTTTTCAGGACCCCAGCAGCCTTTTCCTGCTTCATGGTTTTGCCCACAAGGTGTTTCTGATTGTTTGGACCTGCAAGGATGTGTTGGGGAGAAGGGATGCGTAGTATCAGTATCAGTATCTGTCCATCTTCTGGGTGGTCTGATCCCTTTGGGTTCTGCTCAGCACCTGGGCAGGATGCTGAGCTCCTGTGCTCTTCACCCTGTTTCCCCTGGTGGCTTTCCTCCTAGCCTATAGGTTGTTCAATGGGGTTGTACAAGTGCCTGCTGGGGCAGGAAGGCAGAGAGTGCAGCCACTTCATGGCACACACATAAATCTTGTAGCTGGCACAGGGACAGGAGCAATTCATCACTTTGCCGCTGTCTTAGCTGCTCAGCCCCTTGAGCAGCCTCTCCAGCTGTTCCCTCAACAGGGCACCTGCAGCCTCACTTCTCCATCTCAGGCAGGCAGAGCCATCCCCCAGTGCTGCCTCTTTTGGTCCTGGTGCTCTCTTGGGTTCCTAAAACATCCCTGGGAAAGGTGCTGCTATCTACAAGGCCAGGATGGATGCTCACAGCTGCAAGCAGGCACTCTGGATTTTACTGGTGATGCAAAACTGTACACTCACACAGGCCAGCACTGTCATACTTGGAGTCCATAAATGCAGCTTGAAATTTGCTCTGCTGCTGCCAGCCCACCTTCTTTCCTGAGGAAATCAGAGTATCTCCACTGACTTCTACCACCTGGCCCTATATCCCACGTTTCCATACCTATGGGCACTGCTGGGCAGGATGCAAAAGCAAGGAGAAAGGTCTGGGTTGATATTAGAAGAAAAAGTTAAGGTGGGATCTGGGGCAAAGGAAAGCACATCTGAGTTGTGTGGGATGGTACAAGCAACATGACCAGGCTCTGGCCCTTCCATCCTTCCCCCCATCCTCTTCTACCTCATGATACTGAGGCTTTTGTTCCCTAGAGTTGGTAATATCTGCATGTTAGATCTGATTGCTCTCAGAAATTCTTGTTTGTATCATTTATATTTGTTTCAGGCAAAGATTACGTGTTTGACATGATCAGGACTCTTTTTCTGGCTGTTAAAATCCATCTGGACATGCACCTGGGCAGTGCTTTAGGAGTCCTGCTTGTGCAGGAGGTTGGACCTGGTAGACCCCAGATGTCTCTTCCAACCTCAGCTGTTCTGTGACGTATGCCAAGGACTGAAGGATAAGCACTCAAGCTTTTCTTGACAAGAATTTTCAGCTGTGACACTCTCAAGAGGCTTTATGAGCCCACAGCAGGGCATAAGATTTTCTTCTCCTGGTTCTTTTCCCCATCTGCCAGCAGTACTTGGGGCAAACATACAGGTTATAACAGGCGGATTTTGTGCTTTTTTTGTGTGTTCTGGGATCTCCTTGCCTGGCTCTGACTTCAGACAGAAAGGAAAATGGTGCCCAAAACGCATGGAGCAGAGATTCCCTAAAGCTGTCACTTCTGACCTGCAGGGAACACAAAGCACACTGAGCCCTTTCCTGGTAGGTCCAGCATCCAGCTGGAGATGGGATGCGATGCAATACCCCAGGGGAGAGTGAGCTGCGCCCCTGCATTATATAGATGCTGCCACATGTCTGTCTGCTTGGCTCCAGCTGCCAGCCCAAGCTCTTGCTCTGCCTTTGTCTGCACTGCAAGTGGGAGCCTCCTCCTGCAGCAGAGATGTACAGCCTGCACACAGCCACCTCTTCACACCTCCCTTTGTGGTGCTGAGAGGGCAGAAAATAGGCAGGCACCTGCTGCCTGGCAGCCTGCCCTGCGCTCACCTCCCTGCCACCTGAATTCCCCTCAAAGCTCACCTTCATTTTCTGCCTTTTGGAAACGTGGCACTGGACTGGTGGCAAAATCACCTGCATAGGGGGAATGGTCCCTGTTTTGCCCTTGTGCACCATGCCCATCCCTGATGGCTGATGACAGCCCTTTGAAGAGATATGGGGAAGATACCAGAGGTAGTTCACAGCTCCTAGGCAATATAAAGTCAGGAAGCATCTGTGTGCAGATGGATTCAGTTCTATGAGCGTGGCCACTGCAGCTGGGTTGATCAAGCCCCCATTAATACTTTCTGGGGTGCTCGGGTTTCCTGGCAGCTCCTGAGCACTGTCCTCTGTCTGGCTTATCATGCTGATTGAGCTGCAAATGCTCTGCCTCCTTAGTTTGCCCTGCCTCGGATCGATGAGTGTGGGCAGCTCCAATCAATTCCACTTTACCGCTTGCTATCAGGTTCATATCCACACTCTCCCAGCTGGTCCCAGCTTTCTTTGTTCATTCAGGAGAGGAATTTGGGCAGCCCATCCCACTTGAAGACTGCTGTGCCTTTGCAGAGCTAATTCTGCAAATGCAGCTGTTCCTCCCTGCCACCCTCAGGACCTTGTGCTGAAGGGCCCAAATTTGTGCCAGGTCTCAGAGCATCCAAGTGTCAGAGTGGCTGGTAGTGTGAGAGTAGGTGGCTGGGTGAGGCCGTGAGATCTGCATGGTGGTTGTTGCCACTGAGCCGGCATCTGCCAAGAGGTTTTCCTGTCACAAGCCTGGTTTTGCTGGGGAAAAGGCAGCTGCAGAATGCTCCCATGGCTTGGCTTCCCAACCCCGCTGGCAGTGAACACAGCTGCAGCTCTCAGGGGCTTGAGCCCCTGCATGATGATTTTACAGGAAAACAATAATGTCAAAGAGTTTATGTAGAGGATGTTCAGAAATTTCCCTCGGACCCACACCTAGCGACGAGAGAAGTGTTTTGCACACTGCCTACTGCTCCTGATGCCATCTTTCTCTTGCCTTTCTCACTCAGCTCTCTTGCTGGCCAGTTTCCAGGGTGCAGTGCCCGGATTTGCGGAAATGAAATTTCCCCATGGCTCTCCACACCTCGTCCAGTGTCAGCGAAATAACGGGGCACACCAGAGCACAGCTGTGAAGCTCACAGCTGTGGATGTGCTGGGGGCTGTCTGCACTGCGAGCAGGGGCGGT